TAAATGAATGTGAGAGCTTCATATTGACTTGAGGAGTGCTGAGATATTCAGTATGAAGCCTCTATATACCTTCTGTCCAGCTTTTCCCCGGATTCTGTATTGTTTTGTTGTCTGACCCCAAGAAAACAGCTGTTTTTCCCCCTCCAAATTTGATTTCACTTACATTCTGTCTTTTGTTCTCATTTCTCTGTGTATTTTGTCCTCCCTTAAGTTGCTCTTTTCTTCTCTGAATTTTCTGTAGTTTTGGTTATACCTGGAGTGTCTCTAAATTTCTTTACTGTATACCCTTTACTGTAAGTCCAGTCTTCTGCATCATTCCAGGGAGCCTAATATTTTTCAGCTCAATGTGCAGTAGTGGTCAAAAAGATTAACAGAATTTAGGAACTATTGGAAAAGGGACAGATAATAAGACAGCAAATATCATAATACCATTATGTAAATCCATGGTCCACCCACACCTTAAATAGAGTATCCAGTTCTGGTTGCCCCATATCAAAAAGGTTATAGCAGAACTAGAAAAGCCCATTTTATAACAATTTAAAACATTATCTGAAAGGCTTATCTGTCAATGCTTGAGTTTAGAATTCTATTTTATTCTTACATCATCTGATGACATTACTATCCCTTCAAGTGCTAGGTGATACCATTGCGACAGAAGAAAAGCAAAACCACCTCCTCCCCCATCCCTTCTATGGCAAAACCCCTCTGGAAGTAAACAAACTTCCATTTATTAAGACTTGGTAGTAGGACCAGGACTGTTTCTTTATGACATGTGAACTTAAAAACATCCTTTTATGTTCAAATACAAAATTTCAGTAATTTTGGCCAAGATTTTAAGTACACCTCTACCCCGATATAACGTGACCCGATATAACACGAATTCGGATATAACGCGGTAAAGCAGCGCCCCGGGGGGGGGGGGCGGGGCTGCGCACTCTGGTAGATCAAAGCAAGTTCGATATAACGCGGTTTCACCTATAACGCAGTAAGATTTTTTAGCTCCCGAGGACAGCGTTATATCGGGGTAGAGGTGTAGTAACTAATTTGGGGTGTTTCAGTATTTGGGTGCTCCACTGAAGACATTTTTATAAGTTTCTGATATTTTCGTTTAGAAAGCCCTGAGCACCTACCCTCTGAAAATCTGGCCCCTTTAAGGTGCCAAGTTGGGCTTCTGTACAGAGGCACCTAAAACCAAAATTTTAGAAGTGACTAAAGTGATTTTTATCCTATCTATTGGTGGTGAATTAGGCATATTTTGATAAATGGTATTTATGTTAAGGACCAGCTCAAACAGAAATAAATGGGAATTTTGCCATTCTCGAAGTAGACAGAGAAGGCCCTACAGTATTTCCTTTAACACATGAAAGTAAAATGTGCTGAATACCTCTCAGGCTGACATTTGGTTATAGACAACACATGCTGATAAAGTTACTGGAATTTTTTCCTTTACCTTTGCAGGTCACCTTTAGAACAGCTTTATTTGTTTGTTTAATAAAACATGCCAGTTCACCTCTAATCAAGTGAAACAAATTCTGAGAAACCAGTTCACAAATAGACATGCACATTACCAAACCACAACACAATTAGTCACAATTGGCTTTCCTTGCCCGTGGAAGACAACAAAAGTTGTATGGTAGAGGTCCTGCAGGAATAGAATAGAGTGTATTGGCAAATCTGTGAGGAAGCTCACAAGAGGCCCAGTTCTTCTCTGTATTACATCAATTTAAGCCCAGAGTAACTACTAAAATTGTGGAGTTGCACTAATTTTTTTACACAAGGGTAGATTACAGCAGAATTTTATATATTTGATTTCACTCAGCATTGATGTTCTCATATTTGCAATTACTGAAGAATGTGTCACAGTTAAAGGCTAAGTTTCTATGTGGCTTTAAGCTAAGTTGCCACATCACATGAGACCAGCTTAAATGACTTTAAAAAAGTATACTCCTTTGTCTCCGAAAGGGTTGAGTGCTGTTTACAGGGCTTTTTAATAAGGTGAGAACTATTTTTTTCAGACTTCTAAAAAGTATTACAGTGCTTCTTCCAATGTTCTGACCTTTTGTATTTCTACAACATGTACTTTATCAGACTTTTTTCCAGTTTGACTTCTATCTTCTCAATGAAAATAAAGATGTTGTTGTATACCAAAAGACTCAGTATAAAGTGTTTGTGTGCAGTGTTTGGGGTTTGAATCCGGTGATGATCAGAATGAACTTCTTAAACCCTACTTACAATACACACCTTTCATAATTACTTGGGGGAATATGCTATTAGTCCAATGATTAACCTAATTTCAGTGTCAATAAGGAGCACTCAAAACTCAGATCTTTTGTAGACTCTCCTCCACTAAAGAAAGGACTACCAATAAATTTTGTAGTTAGCCTTAGAATACCTAGTAATGACATTTTTAAAAAGAGGAAAAGCCATTTGAAGTTCTGTAAAGAGGTACACTTTGTGTGCCTTCTAATCAGTTCTTTAAAAGGAATAAAGTTAGCAAAGGCATAACTAAAGTTTTTTTTTTTATTAGCTACTGTCTTTTATATGCATTTTTACACAATTAATAGTTTTTTAAAATTCTTGTGGTTTTGTACTATAGCACAGAAACTACAACAACTAGACTTGCTGTAAATGACTTACAAAGCAAATAAAGAAAATGACTATATCATGAACTGTTTGCTTTTTACTGTTTGCTGTTCTACCACTCCCTCAGTTTGAGCATACAATGTGAAAAGCCACACAATGGTGGCTTCAGAACAAGTCATTAAAATGTGAGCAAGCACAAAGAAACCAATATTCACTTCTCAAGAACAGCTTAACTCTTACCATCTTTGGCCACAGAAATATTACAAAAAAATTCAGTTCCTCTCACCAGTTGGATCCTTGTACTATCAGTTCCCTGTTTGTCTTCTATATATAGAACTTTAGGGAAGGGGACTCTTATTACAGCATAGTTTAAAAAAATAGACACAATCAATTCTGTCAATAGTTTTCTGTATTTCTTAAGTATATTGAGGTATAGTGCTTCTCTCTTACAACCTACATTCTCTGGCTTAATTCTGCAATGAAGTCATAATCCTTTGTTGGAAACAAACAGTTGTCATAGAAATATTTGTGGTGATATATTCGTAGAATTAGTATTATGACTTCACTGCTAGCAGAACAAGGAGAACACTGATAGGGTGTTTGGAATTTTAGCTCAAATGGCAGGGACTCTTATGAAACTTACAATAATGTAAAAGTAAGTATACTACCACAGATTTTAATATTTCCTGGAGTTTTATGTCTCTTTCAAAGGCTGAACTTCAAAAAGAATATTCTTACTATCTTTATAAGATTATGGAAGAAAGCTTAAAGTAGGGTTTACATTTTCAAATATATGGTGCTCAGATGACTATCAAATCTTGTTCTTAAAGTATCATGTGCTAACACACTGACCCCAATGTTCTGTTATCCAAAATCCAACATTCATATCTAAAATGAAATTAATTTTTTCCCCATTGCTATGTAACAGAGTACTACAAACTTTGAAAAATAAATTTATGCACAACTATAGGTACACAAGACCAGAAAGAACTATGTTAAATTTATAAAAACATCATCTTATCTTTGGAGTATAAAATTTAACACCTCTTAAACAAATATTATTTGCTAAGGTACTAAGTAAAGAATAGTGCATCTAAAAATTAAATACAATTCTCAAGTTTATGTAGTCCCTTCCTTCTACCCATTATATTTAATAAGATTAATGTATTGTGGCTTCAACCCTTTAGTTAGTCTTGATTTCCCTTATAAAATAAGTGAATACTCTTGGGAATTTTCTTCACTTTTTTTTAAATTTAATTTTTTCTTACTGGCAATCTTTGTCCATCATCCCTGATTCATTTCCTCCTGCTTCTGAACATTTGTTAGTTGCTCCTGTATAAGATATCTAGTCAGATAACAGCGTGACCTAGCCCAGAAACAGACTTGGGAGGAACACTGCAGTCTAAAACAATTTTTGGGTGAATGATCAGGTGGCTCATAGGGAATTCGTGTATCACAGCATAGTAAAATTCTGGGATTTGTTCAGCACTCTGATGTAATAAAAATCAGAGAGTCCTACAAAAGTTTTCCTGATTAATCTGAGATCAACTCTTTCAGGGGGGTGTATGCCTGCAAAAAGCAAGAGTGAAGAACTAAGGAAAGTAGTTTTTGTTTTCCCATTTAAACTCATCATAACCAAGGAGGGAGGCAACATGAGTTGGCAAAAAATTTAAGTGCACTTCCTGCAAACAGTTATACTGAATTTAGCAGCACAGAAAAGTGTTCAGCTTATGAAATTTGAAATGGGACTGTGTGAAGACATTGAGGTGGATGGGCATTTCTCCTAGGACTGAAACTACCTGACACTGGTACAATCTAGTGCAGCAGTTTTCAAATTGTGGGTTGCAACCACATCTTAATGGGTCGCCAAGGCTAGCTTAGACTTGCTGGGGTCCGGGGCCCAGAGATGAAGCTCATGTTACAGGCCCCCTTGCCTGGGGCAGAAGCCCTTGGGCTTCAGTTTTGGCTCCATCCGAAGCAGTGGGGCTCAGGCTTTGGCACCCCCAACCCCGAGCAGTGGGGCTTGGGACAGCTCAGGCTTCGGTCCCCCCTCCTAGGGTAGTGTAGTAATTTTTGTTGTCAGAAGGGGGTCGCAGTGCAATGAAGTTTGAGAACCCCTGATCTAGTGCATTCCAAAGATATATTTTGCTCTTCAGAAGTATTTTTGTGAGCCCATCTGATAAGGCTCTGGGAGGGGCAATTTAGCAGTATCAAGGTGAAGGATCCTAGGCAGAGCAGTCACCCCAACTCTCCTTTCAGTAAGAGGCTTCTACAAGCTCCCTCACCCCAGCAGCTCCTTCCAGTGCCTCACTGTCCCTTTTCTGTTAAACTCTAATTAGTTCAGTGAACCCCCAGCTGGGGAGGCAAAGTATCCTAAGCTGTAATTTAAATGAAATGTGATATACAGTTTTACTTACCCAATTCTTTAGAAACTGGAGATGCAGTTGCTATTTCTCCAATCTTTGCAACACCATCATAATATGCTCTTCCAGCCAGTATCATAGCTATAGGGAAAACAACAAGAGTACTCAGCTTGTGTTGCATTAAAAAAATTGAGTACATTATGAATTACCATCCATCAGGAAAAGGTGAATGATATTTTCACAATGCCTGCCTGGGGTTCAAACGGGGTGCACAAACTTGGTTCTCTAACTTTCGGGAATAATATTCTAGGATATTCTGAGTCCAGTCCAGTGCCTGTTGATGTCAATGGAAAGATTCTGACTTCAACACAGGCAGGATCAGCCCCCAATAATAGTAAATGACTCACATCTATTAATACGATACAGAATTCCCAAAAAGCATATTATGTGTGTTTTTTTTAAATGACATAATACATATAACCAAAAAGCACGTCCTTTCTGTCTTACTTTAGATTCATATGCACTGTATGTACTGACAACTCATAGTGTAGTGCAATACTTTGAAGATGACACAACTGGTCTTCTAGGAACAAATTCTGCCCACCCTCCCTCTCCGTGGCTGCAGAAGTTCCCAGATGCAGTGAAGATCTGCTGTGAAAGTTTTAGGGAAATCTATAAGAAAGCTACAGTGCTAGAATGTTGGGGAAAGGCTGATAGATCTGCTGCTGTGTGTTTCCAACAGCCAGTGATCCCCTGTGAAGTGGCATCACAAGAGTGACCAGGCGCATGGAAGGATTACTTCTCTTACCCTCACAGAACCTCCCTATAACTAATAGGAATGGAGAACAGAACACAGTTACTTTAAACAGAAAGTTATGATGTGAATTATTCCAGATACCTAAATCGCTATGACAGAGTAGCAAAATCAATACTGTTGATTCCCAAAAAACAGATGACAGTAAAAGCAAGGCACTCTTCTTAAAAGAACTAATTCCATATAATTTAAATCAGTGCCAAAAGAGAGGTCTATAATTGCCCTATGATAAGTGAGCATGAATTACAAACTACCAGTGGAAAATGTTTACCATTTCACTGCTAGTCAGTATGTCTGAAGCATCCAGCTAATAATGTGTTTATTAACGGTAGCTGAATGAACCAAACCATCTATCCTAAACATTTTATTAATTTGAAGGGAGGTTCTATAGATACAATTCCACACATTTTTAATACACAAATAATGAAGCACCATCAGATACTCTTTTGTAATTTGTGCTCAGAGGACTTTCTTCAACCAGTTCTCTAAGTAGGATTTTTATGGAAAACCATTGTTATACATATGGACTACAGTGAAATCACATCAAGGTTATTGTTCTATTAACAGGCAATAAATACAATGGCACCCTTAACTTCCAACAGTACTGACTACCAATATTAATGACAAGTGTAGTTCTTATATTCCCCAGGATACAATCTGGAATGTTGGACAGCTGTGTCCCCTCAATTCTCCAACCTGGGGTGCTTTTTACACTGCTTTGCAGTGAGAGCAACCACTCCTGGCTTGCTCACACAGCCTCCAACATGTAAATTACCCCCAGGTATACTGCAATAGTGCTTCAGCCAGCCAGCCACCCTTGAATTATACTGCAGAGTGACATCAGCAAATTCACAGTCCCAGACTTCCCCCAGAAATGTGTATCTTGTACTGCCCAGATCTTTCCTTCTCAATACAAGCTCATATAAAGTCCGTTATTTCATTAACAGAAAATGTTATCCATAAATATTATCTCAAATGAAGTTTCCCAAACACTTCAATCCAAACACACACTAGTTTAGATAAAACAAATTTAACTATAGAAAGAAAGATTTTAAGTGATTACAAGTAATGAGGCATAAAAGTCCAAATTGGTTACAAAGAAATAAAGGTAAAACACAAACTAATACTTAACAAGTTAAATTAATTCAAAGCCGAAGTCCCTCTCTCTCTCATCCCATGTTCTTTTGCACACTTCCTGGTTGGATGCTTTCCAGCCAGGACCCATCCCCCGGTCCAATGCTCCTTTCCTTGTCCTTCAGACATTGTGGATGTCATGGGCAGAGAGAAAGGAAGGAGAGAGGTGATTTTTTATATCTTTTTCTCCTCTTTGATAATCTTCTCCAGTTGGGGTTCAGGAAAAGCAGATCTGGGGAAATGGGAACTTCCAGCTGTTCCATTGCCAAGATGTAAATTTCTTGCTCACATCCTTCTTCCTGCCAGAGTGTCCGCTTAACAAGGTGCCAGTCCATTTGATTATGTTGACATTCCATGTGGTTATGCTGATTATGCCAAGGCTCAGTTTGCATTTTGTCTCTAAGGAACTGGTTTGTGCCTGCTTTTCTAGACTTGGAACATGTCTCAGCAATATCATACAGTAGAATCTTATAACTTTACATACAATGTTGTCACTATTTTACCAGGACAAACATGTTCAGCAGATTGAGTTTTCAAATGATACCTCACAAGGCATACTTTGTACAAAATTTATCATCATCTTGTAAAAAGGATGAACATAAGGGTGCAGACTGTCACAACAGTCTGCTAGACCTTTATGTTTTACTCTTCTTAATTTTTCTGTAGCACATGGACAGGTACTCATGGAGATTAATATATTACAAATATTAACCTGCACTCATCACATACTTCCAGCTCATATAATGTCACTAAGCATTTAGAAAATGTCTAAGGATTCTCTATGGCAAGAATAATAATTAGGTTACCAAATATAGTTCTAGAAATATAATGCCACTGATGTTTTTCGTTTTAACTGGTAAGGCATTCTGGAGTCTTTAAATTATAGGACTTGAAAATCTTTCAAGAACTTAATCTTTCAGATTAAGGAGATTTATGCTAGCTAGAGTTGGAATGCTAGATAATCAGATTTGGCATTATCATCTTTATTTTCAACTGGTGACACTAACACTCCTGAGACAATAAGTAAGCTGCCTGAATGAGCCATACAGCATAATATCTATCAATATTTCAAGTTAATATTTCCACTTCCTTGGACAGATCTGAGGAAGATTTGTATGAGTATTATCTGCGTACAATTTGCCAATCAAGGATTTTGTCATTCAGAGAATTAGTTTCAGTCTCCCAAAACAATACCTACATCTATCTGTGTTTAGAGCTTATTTTACTCATGAACACACAGAAACTAGTTTGAGCCAAGGTTTACTTGAAACTAGACTGAGACTATCAACTCATATCATACAGGTTACCCAACAGCTATCGGCTGCTAATTAAGTCCTTTTTTAAAAACAGAAAACGCTACAAATCTATGGTATCCTATGGAAGAATATGTGTTGAGTGATAGCCTGTTTGAACATCTATGTGATTACAACACTGTCCCATTATTGACTCTAGATGTCACAATGACTTTCTTTTTCTTTCTTTGTTCTATTTTTATATGTAAATTCTCCTACATAGGAATATGACGATTCAGGAGGTCCCTACCAGTCCCAAGTCCAGTCCCCTGCTATTGCAGGCAACTCGATCACATAATCCTGTTCACAAACTTATCATGCTTCATTTTAAAACTAATCAATTTGTTTGCCCCACCAGTCCTATTAGAAGCCTGTTCAAGAACCTCATTTCTCTGATAAAATCTAACTAAATTTATTCATGGCTGGATCTTACACGTGTTCTTGTGCCGTCATTATCCTTTAGCTTAATTAGGTCTTCTCCTACCTTGATTTTTACCCCCATTATGTATTTATAAAGAGCAATTATATCCCCTCTCACCCTTCATTTGCCAGTCTAAACAAGGCAAGCTCTTTGAAAACTCCTCTCCTACGCAACTTGCTGTGGGAAATTTAGATTCCCAGGACAAAGCATATCAGGATGTAACAGCAACCTGAAAGTGAGTATATACTATAAATTCTTCCAGGCTTGCAGTACTTATGGTGCAGTAAAGCTGGACTCAAACCATTTCAATTCAGCTAGAGGCTGTTATTGATATTTAGTAAGTTCTGTGAATTAACATTTCTCACCTTTTCTTGGTCAGTGAATTCACAACTCCAAAACAAACTGCATTCTGCATGTTTGACGTGATCACACTTGTTAGGCACAGGCATTACAGAAATTTAAAAGGCGAAGCTGGAAAACTTTCATTGCTGTAAGACACAAGGACTAACCTAATGTACAAGAAAGAAATCCTGTTCTCTGAGAAGACGTGACAATGTTTTAACTGTCTCGATTTTAAGACAATGTTTGGCCAATTTTTATTGCATATTGGCTGGATACAACATAACTGAGTTCAGGTTTTTCAGGAAACATTAAGCATAATTATATATTAAAGTCACAGTGGTTTCGATTATTTCCTGTTAATGATTTCCATGTTAATATGTGCATTTGATTTAAATGGTAGGGCCAGTTTTGCTGGATTGAACACTGAAGCAGCAAGATTCAAACTGGAGAAGGGCTAGCAGCGAACAGCAGTTTACACATGTAGTAGTTTATAACATACAAATCTGATTCCCTGCATCTTCAGGGCATCTGCATCAGATTTTTATGTCATGAGCTTAAGAGGTAATGGCAAGAATTGGTCAGATATTCTTGCAAGTAGAAATGATGCATATGCTTTGAGTAGTAGTTTGTTTTTGAAGGAGGCAGAAAGTCTTCTTCCTTTTATCTTTTTGTTGTAGTAAGCTTTTCATTCCCCAAGTACAATCCAAGCAGGCCATCTCCTCTGACCTCAGAATACTCTTGTTGGGGACAGCAGGGAGAAGAGACAGAGCAGTGAGCCAGCCAGCCAATTACAGTTTTACTGCCAAAGGTAGGGTTGCCAATTTTGGTTGGACGTATTCCTGGAGATTTCATCACATCACATCACATGATCCTTAAAGATTAATCTTTAATTCCTGGATATTCCAGGACAATCCTGGAGGGATGGCAACCCTAGCTAAAAGTGAGGTAATTGCCTATCCCATAGTACATCAAGTGGTTCTTACATTGGCTAGTTGTCCTTGAGCCAAGCTCCAAAGGGGTTACAGGATCCCCTTCAGTTCCTGGTCTCACTCCCCTACACTACAACTCAATTTTTTGATGGGTAATGCCCATTACTTTCCAACTCTTGATGGAGTTGATCAGTACTCTTCACAGTCTGGGTCTGAGCCAATTTTCTTGCCCCATTACCAGTATCTTTATTTATGGCTTTCCAGGTAAGCAAAGCTATCCTGAAGGCTAGATTTGAGTCAACCAGACACATTGCAACCTGTGCTAAAGCTCTGACCAGCTATAGATTCAACTTCTTTTCACCACATGGACTAGTGAGGCACTGGATCAGGGGTGGGCAAACTTTTTGGCCTGAGGGCTGCATC